TAGTTTGTTTCATTCGGTGGATCGTCTTGTGAGTCGAGTGTTTCTTTGAGTTTTTTTATTGCTTAGATGGGGTGGACGAGCTCACAGCCCACCCGGTGTTAAGTGGTTACTGGAGCCCATAGACATCTACAACGTAAATGCGCCACCCACCTCGAGATACAAGTTCTAAGGTCTCAGTATAGTTACAACGGCTACCCCACCCTTCGAATCGAAACGCTTCTTCACGGCTGAAATAGGCGGGGCGGTGGTATCTACCCGTGCGGACTTACAAGAGGTTCTACCACCAGTTACAAGTCAGTGTGGTCAGGTTCGATGTTGTGTCGGAGTCAGTATAATTGTGATGTATGTTTTTGAATTTGATATCTTTTCGAAATCTAGGTGATATATATTATTCAGGTTTGGTCTGTGGCACACCCATAACACAAGATATAGCGTTGACGTTAAATTTTAATGTGAAAGGATTTTTCAATTATATTCATCTATTTGGTAAAAATTAGAGGTATAATTATTATTTTTATTGTTGTAATATTGGGAGCTTATAGACTTCACAATGTGAAACCTGTCAGCGACCGTGTGGGATCAGAATACGTACTGCCAGACTATCAAACTACCAGACTACCAGAAATGCCGGCTGGTGATCGTACTATGCTATATTATACTCGAAACTCTGCTGCCCATTTCCCGTTGAATCTCTTAGTCACCATTTACGATATCCACGGGAAGAGATGGATTGGTGGTAGTCTGCCTAGACCTCGACCTTACACAGCTGGTCGGTCACAAAATCGGATATCCGATTGCAACCTTTAAAATCGTTACTTGTTGAAATGTGTACCTAGTTCAGCCATAAGTTCTGTTACTAATTAAAATGCATTTTGTTTTAAATGAAGTAATGTAATATTATTAAAATTTATACTTACATGTTTATTAAAGTCACAGGAAAAAATAAAAAATATTTCTATTCGAAATGGCTTCTGGCCATATTTTTTATCTTTATAATTAAAGGTGTGTTTTTTTTGGTGTTAGCATCAACAGTTCCATGTTTTTAATTGAACTTAATAGCCAAAGAATTTTTCTGGTTACGATAAATTTTCAAAAATTTAAATGGCTCTTTTGTAAAGTTGCAAAAATATCGCGCAAACCAAATAGTCTTTGAGCCCTGGATAAGTGTTTTATATATATATTCGTTTGCACCAACAAAGTGATCATCAATGCAAAACATTGACCAACTGACAAAAGCTCATAGCAGATGTCACCTCAATTATAGATGTAAACCACAGTGCATTAACAACAAAAATAAAAATAAGTTATATAACTAAGAAACTAAGATTCAAATCTTAGTTTCTTAGTCTTCTGATTACATTTGATTGATTGCTTAAGATTAATTTATANATTCGTTTGCACCAACAAAGTGATCATCAATGCAAAACATTGACCAACTGACAAAAGCTCATAGCAGATGTCACCTCAATTATAGATGTAAACCACAGTGCATTAACAACAAAAATAAAAATAAGTTATATAACTAAGAAACTAAGATTCAAATCTTAGTTTCTTAGTCTTCTGATTACATTTGATTGATTGCTTAAGATTAATTTATATATTTTCCCCTCCGGGCGGAAAGTGGCAACTCTCGTCCCGCTGCGCTAAACAAAGTTGCCGCTTTCCGCTTTTATCGGACAAAATAATAGTATACAGCCCTTGGAAAGTAAAAAAGTAAACCTCAGATCACATGTAACTGTTGGCCGAGGCGAGGCTTTTCTTATTTTCCTTCCCAAGGGGCTTAATCAACTTTATCGATAATCAACTTTATGACTCTTCCCGACATCTATTGGCGAATAATAATACAATTTTTCATAATTGAGATCAACTAACTGCTTTAAAGACATAATAACACTAAAGCTATTTCAGCAGATGGCGTTGTTAAGCCACCCGAAGCCAATGAGTGTTTGGTTTAAGGTTAGACCAAGAAAATGAATTGTTTATTTATATTATTTGTATCTTTCTAACTCACGTGTTCACTTAAAAATGCCTAAACGATTTTGGAATATTCATCATTTTATCAATATATAATTCGTATTTAAATATAATTTCTAAAAAACACAATTTATCAAAAAAAAAAACCCAGCAAAGTTCGGTCATCGTCTAGTATAGTATAAAAATTTTTTTTTCTTGCTTATATGGGTGGACAATCTCACAGCCCACCTGGTGTTAAGTGGTTACTGGAGCCCATAGACATCTACGACATAAATGCACCACCCACCTTGAGATATAAGTTCTAAGGTCTCACGTATAGTTACAACGGCTGACCCGCCCTTCAAACCGAAACGCATTACTGCTTCACGGCAGAAATAGGCAGGGTGGTGGTACCTATCCGCGCTGACTCCCAAGAGGTCCTACCACCAGTAAAAATTGAGGAATGAAACGAAATGATCACCAATTGTTTTAAATGCCAAAGCGTTTTATTTTGTTATTAACTTGAACATACATTGAACAGAACATTTAGTAATTTAAATAGCGTCGAGCTAGTATACCACGGCTGGACGGGACACGACATTCAGATAACGTGTGTATGCGGTCACTGCGCATGTACGCCGGGTCAGAGGCGAGCTCAGCCAGCGCTGCCCTGGACATTGTCTCGTCGAATGGAACCTCAAGGCTTTCGGAGACTCGAGACAGCCAACGGGCCTCCACGCAGCTGAGAATTTTTAATCTACATATTAATACGCAAAGCAAAAACTTTGTATCCCTTTTTACGAAAATCGCACGGACGGAGGAGTATGAAATTTCCCACACTTATAGAGAATACTAGCTGTACCCGTCCGCTTCGCTGGGCATTTAAAATTAACATTATTATTTCTCACCCCCACAAAGATTCTCATCATTAACGCCCCCGCAACTGGTGCAGGGAGTCCAACACTCATATAAATATTAGCCTATCCATTAAGTACATGTATTTTCTACATGGATACCAAGTTTCAAGTCAATCGGATGCATGGTTCAGTAGTTATAACGGAACATCCGTAAAAACCACTGTAGATTTATATTTTAGTATAGAGAGAGAAAGACTGCAGAATGTTAATATTATTTTAAATTATGCATAACAAATTCATTAAGTCAATAAAAAAAACATTACACACACTACCATATATTTCACACACACACGCATGCACACTATTTGTTTATTGTTTAACTTTTCTTATTGCTTATAGTCTGCGGTCAAATTGAGATTTTCGTGACACGAGAATTTTATATATTATATATTACTTATATATACACTTATATATATTACTTTTATATATACTTATATATATATATATTTCTTATATAAACTTAAATTTTTTTGGCAAGATTTTCATTTTAATTTTTATTTTGTCATGAATTAAAATAAAAAATCTGATGTTACTCTCAATTTTTCATCCCTCAATGACCAACCCCTATTTTTCATTTGTTAATTATAAACTTTAATTTTTTGGGCAAGATTTTTTTTTATTTTGTCATGACCTAAAATAAAAAAAAATCATATTACTCTAATTTTCACTCTTATACGATCAACCCCTGTTTTTCCATCCCGATTTTTATTTTTTTTATTCTATGCACAGATCCGCAATAAGGTTGCAAGATGGCAATGCAATATTATTATATAATTGTAGTACGATAAATTCTTATTCAGAGTTTAGAATTTCAAGTTCCTTTAATTATGATTTTTTTGAAATTCAATGTGATCTCCCGCCTTTGCCGGTCGACTACTGATCAACTATCAATCGATCAGTTATCCCCGCCAGGTGTCACCATTCATCCAGCAAACATCACGTAGTAGGGATGAGGACGAAGCCGGTCTCCTGTCTTACTCACTATACATTTTTCAGCCATGTTTTTTTGGTTTTATTTGTGTATCAATCGTAGCAGTGACTGTTATACCTATTATTTTAATTTTTCTGTGCAACTCTCATGTTAATTTTACTGTCATCGTAAAATTATCATTAATTTCCAGTGCAATAATTATTTATTTACAGTCTTATATATAAAATTCTCATGTCACAATGTTAGTTACCATACTCCTCTGAAACGGTTTGACCGATTTTTATGAAATTTTATATGCATGTTCAGTAGGTCTGAAAATCGGCTACTATCTATTTTTCATACCCCTAACTGATAAGGGTTGTCCACCCCTAACATTTATTTTTATTTTTGGACATTTTTTATTGTTATAATGAGGCATTACCTAGGTATGTGGTTGAATGAGGTTTTGTTATTTTTATACTCCCTAATCGTTCACAGCGCTACATGCCTCTTTCACTCATTTACCACATCCTTACACACTTACAATAAGTTCCTTTTTTTGTACACTAGAAATTCCCTAGAAATCTTATATATGGCAAAACAACGTTTGCCGGGTCAGCTAGTTCTCTATAAGTGTGGGAAATTTCATACTCCTCCGTCCGAGCAATTTTTGTAAAAAGGGATACAAAGTTTTTGCTTCACGTATTAATATCTATCGGACGGAGGAGTATGAAATTGATGTTGAGCGATGCATCGGTATTCGAATCCCAGGCGGGTACCAATTTTTTTAATGAAATACGTACCCAGCAATTGTTCACGATTGACTTCCACGGTGAAGGAAAAACATCTATATAAGTATAATATATAAAAATGAATTGCTGTTCGTTACTCTCGCTAAAAGTCGAAAGCGGCTGGACCAATTTGGCTAATTTTGGTCTTGAATTATTTGTGCAGGTCCAGAGAAGGTTTAAAAGGTAGATAAATATAAAAATACATGGAATTAAATAAAAATAACATTTTTGTTTTCCCTTTGATGTGTCCCCCGTCAGACGGATTCCTTTTGTTTGTTTATGTTTATGTTATACAAAAGTTTAGGTCTTTTATTTATTGATTGAGGCACTACGAAGTCTGCCGGGTCAGCTAGTCGTGTAATGAAAATCAAATCCGCAAAAAAACATTTCTAAAAGTGACCTAATGTATAATGATCTAAGTTGACTCACGCAGGACACGTCTCGGTCGGGACTAGAGTCCCAATCTGGTGCGGCGAGAACAGAGCCGGTGGTTCTAACCTCACCGTGTACCTCTTCAAGCGTGATGAAGTCGATTTCTCCTTCTTCTGCAGAAGTCTTTCCTGCATCCATAAAAGTGATTCGCATCATTGACTCTCCCAGAATCAAGTCTTGAAAGTTCCATGGTATTTTATAAATCGACGAACGGTTTTAATCTTGAGGTGTGAAGTTTTTTTTTTATTGCTGGGTGGACGAGCTCACAGCCCACCTGGTGTTGAGTGGTTACTAGAGCCCATAGACATCTACAACGTAAATGCGCCACAAACCTTGAGATATAAGTTCAAAGATCTCAATATAGTTACAACGGCTACCCCACCTTTCAAACCGAAACGCATTACTGCTTCACGGCAGAAATAGGCAGGGTGGTGGTACCTACCCGCGCGGACTCACAAGAGGTCCTAACACCAGTAAGAGTCCAAATCTTTGTGGCATCAAATAACGACTGTTCCTACTTACAAACCGGAAATTAGAGTTTCGCGATAGAAATAAGTTGGGCAAGTAACTAATTTTCCACTAGTAACGTCTAAGGGTTGTAATTTCGTAATGATACGGCTGGTTCGTCTTCAGACTTTTGTTACTAGGTGAAGGTATGAAGGTACTTAATATGGATTAGAGCTTTAGAATCTATACTTAATATTATAAAGAGGAAAGATTTGTTTGTTTGTTTGTTTCGAATAGGCTCCGAAACTACTGGACCGATTTGAAAAATTATTTTTCCATTAGAAGCCGACATTGTCCCTGATGAACATAGGCTACTATTTTTTTTTTTTTTTTTTTGTTTTTTTTTTGTTTCATTTGTGTTTTAATGTTTCCGAAGCGAAGCGAGGGCGGGTCGCTAGTCGTAAATATAGTGGTACATGCTCAGTCTAGTTTATGAGATTTCTGGTATCTGTGGTTGAATTTTTTTATTGCCTTTGTAAGCAGACGAGCATACGGCCCAACTGGTGGTAAGTAGTTATCTAAGCCTAGTCAAGCCGCAGCCTATCGTTAAGTACTCTCCAACAATCTTGCAACACTTACATAATAATAAGCACAGTGTATGTATTCTTTAATTTTTTCATTGATGAGCCGCAGCGACAGATCGAAGGTGTTAAGCGAAGGCTCTTTGTCACCGAGAAGGTTCTGGTAAGGCTCGATACTGCAGTCCAGCATTCTGAATGAAAAGTTGAACAATTAATCTTATATCTTTAAAGGAGCAATTCTTGTATATTAATCTATAGCGGCGTTTACGTTGTAGATGTCTATGGACTCCGGTAACCACTTAACACCAGGTGGGCCGTGAGCTCGTTTAACCATCTAAGTGCAGGATTGTTATTTAAAACACGATGACCAAAATCCATGATTGCGCCGCCGAAATATTTCTTTTTCGGAATGGGACGAATAGAACAGCCGCTACGCAATCAAATTTAGACTTCGAGCTTGTATTTCCAGGTGTTGTTTGTGTTTTTACTATTGAGCCCACTTCGATAAAGCGGCACGACACGAGAACCCTCTTATCGTGGCCATTCCACATTCCAGATCCTTCGGACAGAATGGAAAGCAGTCGACGTCATTTCGGATCCACTAACGGTGCTTTTAGGTACCCCAAGCGCCGGTCTTCGTTCTCGTCGAGCCCGGCACCTGCGACGAAGGGCTCGACGAGTAAATTAACCCTCAGACACAGCCCACTGAGTTACTCGCCGGATCTTCTCAGTGGGTCGCGTTTCCAATCCGGTGGTAAATTCTGCGAAGCACGGCTCTTGCTAGGGTTCGTGTTAGCAACGTCGTCAGGTTTGAGCCCTGTGAGTTCGCCTACTAGTTAAGGCGACGCTGATATAGCCTCTCAAGGCTATCAGCTTAGGTAGGAAAAAAATACCTATTGAGCACCAGTCGTTCAAGAGCCTTCCATTCTAGAGTAATAAAAAACCGATACAAAGTCCGCAACACAAGATCGTGTTATCCCTGCTATCGAATCGTAATTAACCATAAGACAACACATTGGTAATCTCCGGCAAACCTTCAGATCGCGCTGGTCAAATTGTAATTATGTATCAACTGACATTAGGGGCTGTCAGTCTTACGTCATCTAGACGTCATGTGGAGGCGACAGCCGTATTAATTACGTGGAATATCATAATTAATAACGTTTATTACGTAATAATATGGGAACAAGTGATAAGGATACACGGCCATTGTTCTGATGATATTAAAATCACCAATATTTTTTCATTGCGTTAGCAGATAATTTTATCGAAGTCTTTGAGCATGTTGCAGAAGAACTAATAATATCGTAATAAGACGGACTATCCTATCCTTCTTGTGATGGCAGAAGACTGCGGCTGATGTTAGCCTTCTAAAAACCACGATTTCTTTAAATTTTCATAAATTTCTTGCTTCAAAAGGATGCTTTGCTTGAATGCACATAGAAGAATATATAGTTTACCGACATGCTTCATGGCATCCATATTGTAAATACACGCAATATGTTAGTGTAAAACTCGCATAAGAAAAGGATATCCACTATAAAAATGAGAGATGGGGCAAGGAATAATTTGGGAAGGAGAACAAAATCAATACATCTAACTGCTGCCGCGAATTATGGAAATATAGCGTTATACCAAGCAATGTCACTTCCGAATATGCATCCATCGATGGCCCAATACATGTTATGTGTTTGGTGAAGTCCACAAAAACCACATAGTGAATGTCCGACGCACGTTGAGATATGAGATGGACGTCTGAACATTTTATTTATTTATTTATTATTTATTACACTTCATGTAAAATTTACATTGGCGGACTTAATGCTTAAGGCCTTCTCTACCAGTCAACCAAAGGTAGTGCAGAGGAAATAGTGGTAGGTGCAATGAAATTTATATTAAGTTACGAATACATACACAAAAAAAATTGTACACCACCACCACCACCACCATACACCACCACATTTTATTGTACACCACCATACATCTTTTTGCGTTGCGGTATAAATAGGGGACATTTTTCGCTATTATTGATTCCATCCGCACCTTTTTTCCCCTACCCATTCTTGTACCTTCAGGGGGTTATACTAGAATTGCAGAATTTGTAGGGGCGCTCACGCGGCTCAAACCTGATGACGTTGCTAACATTAACCCTAGCAAGAGCAGTGCTTCGCAGGATCGGAAACGCGACCCACTGAGAAGATCCGGCGAGAAACTCAGTGGGCTGTGTCTGTGGGTTAATATGCTGACCGAGCCCTTCGTCGCAAGCAACGGGTTCGACGAGAACGATGACCGGACGCACCCATCCTGCTTATATTGCAGCCGCCAAACAGTCTACATAGTTGAGAATAATTTGTTTACCAAAGTTAGGTTTTGTTGGTATATTAAATTTGCATACTCCAGCTTCCGGTGTAATGTTGCATTGTAATTCGTGCATTCTCTGCGGCTGTGTTGAATTAGGTTACATTCAATTTGTGTCCGATAATACGAGCTTCGATGCACGGCATAGATCCATTATCAGGCGACATTGTTTAGTTGATCCAATCAAATTGAAATTGTATTGTTGAATGAGAACATGACTATATTGTCAAGTGTTGTGTGAAACTATGTAACGTGGTTTAGACGTAATTTTGTGTCAGTTACGCCTTAACTTAGATGTGTTTATTTGCCTTAACGGATTTAAATTAGTTGGGCTTCTAATTTGGGTAGGCCGTGGCATGGCTGTGCCCCTTGGAGTTCCAAGCTTTAAAGGCAAGGAAGAATGGGCGAATCCCGTTAGATCTCTTGCAAAATAGTACCGAAAAAGTGATGACGTCATACGACAAAATTTATAACTTTGTTCGTCGATGCGGAAGCCCTCATTTGGACTGTATTATTTGGTTAGTTATCTGATAAAGCTGCTTCCCTTTTTTGCCATTTCTAAATTTGTTGACTTCACAAGACAGCATTGTTCAGTTATGCTTACCGTTTCGTATCAAGTGGCGCATTATATTATTCGCCCATAAGATTAAAAGGAAAACTAAGCTAAGACGTACATTTTGCTACAGCACGAAATTAAAATATCTTAAGTCTTACTTGAAAATGTCACTAATTTTCTCCATTGTACTATCAATAAGCTGTTTTCTTTCGTCATGTTTATCTTTCATCTCACGTGTCTTTGTCATTTGTATTTTTAATTCCTTATTCAGATTGTCCAATTGCTCTTCTCTTTTGCCGCTCATCATGTCATTCCAGTCCCTTCGGTCATCTAGAAGTAATAGCTTTAAAACAACTGTCAATATTCTGTGTTTCGAATTTTCAAGAAACTGTGACTGGACCATGGCGCTGGGCTTAGTAAATACCTGATTAGTTGCATCAACGGCACTTCATAGAACTTTGAGCTTCCGGATAGAAGGTAAGTCTTGGAAAATCGTGACTCAAACCGAGATGTCTATGGGCTCTTATTTTCAAACATTGTAAGAGAATTCATGCGAGCAGTCTTTGGAAATAAAAATAATAGTTTAGAAAAACTAACAAAATACGCTTTTATAGAAAATCGAACTAAAAAATAGAAAATAAATTTGAATCAATTTGAATTAAAAATAGTGTAAGAAAATGTTGTAAAAAAAGCGTGAGGTGCTTTTCAGGATATTATCAAAACAACCCTTCTACTCGTATCATTTTTTCTTTTTAAACTATTATTTATTTTTCATTTTTTAGTTGAATTTCAATTTTTTCAATATTGTTTTTTAAATATTGAATTATCATCGGTCCTTAGTAAGTAACTATACCAAATTTCGAGTTAATCCGACGTTTTTAAGGGGGTCAAAATCATGTTCAAAGATTCCGTTACAAACATACATACATACGTCTGACACTAATAAAAGCGTCTTAAAAAGTAGAGTAGGGTGACTTAAAATATTTTAAGTTACTTGTCCGGTTATTATTTGCGTCCCTGATAAGGAAGTAATTGTAAAATATAAAATAATTGTGAATATTATTGAATATTGAACTACAGTGGAGATTTGTTTCAAAATTAATCTCACCAATGTCTCGTCTAAGTTTTGTAACTTCATGACTTAGCACTTGATTTTCTGCGCAGAAATCATTTAAGAGTTTGTAAATCGAAAAGTTTTCTTGTTCTCTCATTTCGAAGTCTTCTATAATATTTTCGATGTCGGTTTCTTTTGTATAGTCCTGTGGAACAATTATAAGCTACTAATGTTTTTGTTCAAAGCCTCACCAATGGCCGTACTGTGAGTTTTTTTTTATTGATTTTTTTAATTGCTCACGTGTGTGGACGAGCTCACAGCCCACCTGATTTTAAGTGGTTACTGGAGCCCATGGACATCTACAAAGTAAATGCCGCTACCTACCTTGAAATATGAGTTCTAAGGTCTCAGTATAGTTACAACGGCTGCCCCACCCTTAAAATGAATCATTAGTTTATTAAGATGAAGTTATTTGTTAAGTGAATTTATATATATTGCTTTTAGTGTATGTATGTATGTGTATGTATTTGTAACTTAATATAAATTTCATTGCACCTACCACTATTTACTCTGCACTATCTTTGGTTGATTGGTAGAAAATGGCCTTAGGCATTAAGTCCGCCAATATAAATTTTACATGAAGGGTAATAAATAAATAAATAAATAAATAAATAAAATCGAAACGATCACTGCGGTGAAATTTCAAGTTCAATATTTTGCATTTTTTAAATTGTCGATGTTTTCAATAATTAAGAGTTTTCGGATGTGCATTTAACGATTTGAATTCAATTTTCGATCGTATACTAATCAGCTCTGTTAATTGTATACAAATAATTTAATGCTTTCTAATTCTCTCATTAACTCTTCGACAATCGTATTTCGCTACGACTATGCTACGACATGTGTTGAAAATCAAGATGGTTTTTAAAAATAAGTAGTATATAAGCTGAAGTTGTCTTATTTCATGTGGCAAGGAACAGTGGATGGAGTTGACACTTTCATAATTGAAAACCGAAAATAGGCTTTTAGATAGTGTTCGCTATTATGAGGAAGGATTGTTCACACAGCATTACGAGTATATTAACTTGGCAATCGAAGGACAATATCATGGATGTGAGATTAAGGAATTTGTGTAGCTTGGCACTAAATGCATCATATAATATGTATGGGTTCGAATTTAGTGGAAAAAGGGAACAAGGACACTCGATAACCATTCTAATGTAGTGTAGAAATAGAAAAAATATTACGTATATATCTCTCAATATCTTTAGATGTCCATGTAAAAGATTGATTTCTTCTTCTTCTTTTAATCTTTTCTCTTCTTCTGCTCTCTCTTCCTGTTTCATGTTTATTCTTTTGAGTCCTTTCTTTGCCAGAAAATTGTACAGCTTGATCTCATTGTCGTAAGCCTTTTTTAGCTCGCGCATTTCCTGGAATTATTTGATGTGGATTTTTAAAATTCATTTTGGGTCCGTATATAGTTAAGGTGCAGGGAATACCATACACTACATCAACTAGATGTTCGTACTTTAGTTTAGGTTAGAATAAGTAGTCCCTGACCCTTAAGCTCCACGTGCATCCTGCCCGAAAAAAAAGGGATAAGTAGACCCATAATTTAAAGAAAGTAAGTATTTTAAGTCATAAATCCTGTGCACTACACGAAATACTAATTTTTTTTGGAACGATGTTCCTTATGGGACGAAGCGGAGGGGTACCCTAACCGGGAAAAAACGTCCGTAACGTAAGATTTTTATTAGTAATGCACACAGTGTACGACTTAACGTACAAAAAATGTCATACTTTTTTATCATTCATTGACCACGATCTCAGAGCGTTCGTGTGCGCAATACACTAATTCTTATGCAAACAACCGTGAATGAATTTTACCAGAATAAGTTCGCACGTTACCGAATGACCGTGGGTTGTTGCGAAACCTCCAGTTTTATTTTCTTAATACATCAAATAAAACTTAAAATCAATATTTTTATAATAAGGAACTTCGTTCCTATTCGGTGTCCGACGACACCACACATCTTTTTTATAGTTTTAATTCCTCTATTTTTGTAGCAATAGCACTAAATAGGAAATATTTGTATATTAAAATTCCAAGTATGCAATTTTGTATGTTTATCGCTTGGATAAGTAGCAATAATCTCATGTGTTAAGGAGGGTATTACGACTAAAAAATGTCATTAATAATATATTCCTACTTGAACTTGTAGCATCTGATCCATTTTACCCTTCTCCTGGGTGGACTTCAGCTTGGTGCACCACTCATCTCTTTGGTCATAAGCGAGAGTCGAAGACTCGAAAAGATCCGTCAGGAATTTCTTCCCCTTACTAAGGGAATTCATCATTTTCGCCCAGTTTTTGTTAAATATCGCCCTGTCAAATATTTATAGATATACTAGCTGACCCGGCAAACTTCGTAGTGCTTCGATCGATAAATAAAAGACCTAAACTTTTGTATAAAATAAACTTAAAACGACGGGGGACACATCAAAGGAAAAACAAAATTGTTATTTTTATTAAATTCCGAGCATTTTCATATTTATCTACCTTTTAAACCTTCCCTGGACTTCCACAAATAATTCTAGACCAAAGTTAACCAAATCGGTCCAGCCGTTTTCGTGTTTTAGCGAGACTAATGAACGGCAATTCATTTTTATATATAAAATATAGATTAATTCCGAGCATTTTCATATTTATCTACCTTTTAAACCTTTTCTGGACTTCCACAAACAATTCAAGATCAAAATTAGCCAAATCGGTCGAGCCGTTCTCGAGTTTTAGCGAGACTAACGAACAGCAATTCATTTTTATATATAAGTATATAGATAGAAGATAGATTTTTATACGTAAATCAATTTGAAATTTGTGGAGTATTAAATCGAACCCAGAGAATCGTGTAAACAAGCTTCTCGCTTACGTTCGCAGGTTTAATGCTCCGTGTCCATTTGGAAAATTCACTCCGTGTATTTATTTGTTGGCCTACGTGTTATAGACGAGCTTTCTCTTTAATTAGTACCAGACTGTAACCGCAGTCCGTTAATACCAAAACGTAAAAGAATCCTCAATACACGAGACAAAAGTTACAGTAATCATAAATCTAGATATATAAATAAATAAATCTCTATATATAAAAATGAATTGCTGTACGTTAGTGTCGCTAAAACTCGAGAATGGCTGAACCGATTTGGCTAATTTTGATCTTGAATTATTTGTGGAAGTCCAGAGAAGGTTTAAAAGGTAGATAAATATGAAAATGCTTGAAATTAAATAAAAATAACAATTTTCCGGACGGATTCCTTTTATTTGTTTTAAGTTTATTTTATACAAAAGCTTTGGTCTTTTATTTATCGATTGTGGCACTACGAAGTCTGCCGGGTCAGCTCGTTTATAATAAATATGTAGTAATGCGCGTTAATATCAAGCTGAACTAAAAAAATATGGAATTATTATTAACCTGGCGATCAGAATAATAAGGCAAACAAAAAAAAGATGTTGTATTGTAGGTATCTGTTCCTCATATTGTGTTTGTAAATTGGGCGTATTGAAATTTGTTATAATAGAATTGAATGATTCCGTTAAACCGATAGAAGATATCGCATAGCAAAAACTAGTAACTCCGTGTTGAAAGTTTACATAATTTATTAATACATAATAGGTACTGAGTTTTTGATGAAGGTAGATAAATATGAAAATACACGGAATTAAATAAAAATAACAAATTTGTTTTTTCTTTGATGTGTCCCCCGTCGAACCGATTCCTTTTGTTTGTTTTAAGTTTATCTTATACAAAAGTTTAGTTCTTTTATTTATCGATTGAGGCACTACGAAGTCTGCCGGGTCAGCTAGTCTAAATAAATAAAATTTAATGTGTATGTTTGCCCTCTCTGCTTTCCTAACTCATTGATCCGATTGTGATTAAATTTGGTACAGTTGTTGTTGGCACTCTAGAGTAAGTTTTTATCAGAATATCATCAAAGTTTGTCGGGTGGCGTGCGAGTAGTATCAAGATATCGATGTTTTTCATTGAATTAGTGATAGTCAGAGCGGAAAGTGACCAGTTTTTTGTGACTTGTTTGTTCGTATTCTACACATTACCAATCGTTGTTTCTACTTTAATGAATGTTTGTGGCATATTAATATTAACGGAGAACAGATGGTGCGTGAGCTGCTAATAACTATAACCTATAACGAACTGGCAAAGTCTTCAACTTAATTGGATTTATCATCACTACATAGTATAAAACAAAGTCGCCTTCTCTGTCCCTATATCCCTATGTTTTTTTTTATTGCCTTTGTATGCAGACGGGCATACGGCCCACCTGATGGTGAGTGGTTACCGTCGCCCATGGACTTCAGCAATGCCAGGGGCAGAGCCAAGCCGCTGCCTACCGCTTAATACTCTCCACAAGCCTCGTTTGAAGAAGGACATGTCATAGCGCTCGGGAAACACCGTGGAGGGGAGCTCATTCCATAGCCGGATGGTACGTGGCAAAAAAGATCTCTGGAAACGCACTGTGGATGACCGCAGTGGCTCCAGGTAGTATGGATGAACTCTACTCCGGTGGCGGGCGGTGCGATGGTAAAAACGAGATGCTGGTATCATCTCGAACAATTCCTCAGAGCACTCCCCATGGAACATACGGTTATGTATGTATGGCTATGTATGCTTAAATCTTTAAAACTACGCAACGGATTTTGATGCGGTTTTTTTAATAGATAGTGGATTAAATAGTGGAGAAACCAATAATAAATTACAGTTTCCGAAGCGAAGCGAGGGCGGGTCGCTAGTTTACATATAATCTAGCGATGTTTATAAAACTGATTAATTGCATCCTCCATGTTAGTAGTATATTAGGTAGTATAATTGTTTCATGTTTAATGTGATTTCCTTTGTGATTGTGATTTATGTAACTTCCTTACATTAAAAGTTTGATTGGTTTTCGGTATTATGCTGTCTTGTCCTATAGTTGTAAGGAACATTGTGTTCTTAGCACATTTGTCCTGATTAGTTATGCGCGCATGGCTTACGTTACAAGCCAACTTTTTTTCTTGTTGTTATTTATTGCGTATCTTTTCTTTTTTGGCTTGTAATGTGTATTGTATGACTAATAAATAAAAATAAAAATAATAAATAATGTTATATATCTATACTAATCTAATATTATATAATATTATAAAGAGGAAAGATTTGTTTGTTTGTTTGTTTCGAATAGGCTCCGAAACTACTGGACCGATTTGAAAAATTCTTTTTCCATTAGAAGCCGACATTGTCCCTGATGAACATAGGCTACTTTTTTTATTTTTTTTTTATTTTTTTTTTTGGTTTCATGTGTGTTTTAATGTTTCCGAAGCGAAGCGAGGGCGGGTCGCTATTTAATATTATAAAGAGGAAAGATTTGTTTGTTTGTTTGTATTGAATAGGCTACGAAACTACTACGGCTTTTGTTTTATATTAATGTATGACCTTTTTACGAAAATGAGAAAAATAGTAATAGAAAAATAATAATAAAAAATTTACATAAAAATAGATATTATTTAAATGTAAATAAAAGTTCATTAAAATAATAATATTCAAACTATCTTTATAATTTTCTATTTTCTACCTGACGCAAATATAAGGGTTAATGTGTGTGTGTAGTATAATTTTTTATTTTGAAATTTTTGTTAAAGACCTGAGCGAACCCGGAGCTGGCCGCTAGTCAGAAAAAAATGTATTGAAATTGTACCTGTCTTTCAGCATATGGCTTATTTCGTCCCTGATCTTTTTGTTTTCAGTCTGGACCAAATTAAATCTGAGCATGGCCGCTTCCAGCTTATTTTCAGTGGCCATCAGTCGTGATTCGCTTTGGGTTCGACGTTCATCTAACTAAAAAAAAATCGGTTGTCTGTCTGTAAAGACGGTTATCTATCTATCTCTTAGGTTTATGGCGTTTCCTTTTAGATTTCGGCAATGTCAAGTGTATTTAATACTCTGCTTTCTATAGCGGGCTTCGTGAACGAGCGAGGTCACAGATATTCACCAAGAAATACTGACGATAGTTGAGCGTGACAACGTCATAAGAAAATACTGATGGAATGGTTTCATTTTTCAATTATCGCAATTATCGTTGCTATAAACAATTGACACCACATTCACTTTTCACTGAACTTCATACTTGACAGAAAACATGTAAATGTATTATTGTATAGCAGCTGTCCACGCGGATGCATCGCTCACTCAAGTAGGAGAGAGACAGATGTCGAAGGCTGCCGAACGCGAAGGCCGATTGTGCCTCTTTGTCGCTCGTTGCGCGCTCTCGCTTGCACTTCAAGCCTTAAATGGAACGCCTCAGAGCGAGGTAACGCCGCATGAGTCATGTTTTTTCGTGCGTGCAGCCGACTCCATCGAATTATAAGACGTTGTCACGTCAAAAACATAATTCTGATTTAAAAAAGTATTTCGGCAAATTATTTGCGCAAGTTCACAATCCCGGTAGCGTTCTTGGTGATTACCTGTCCAGTCGTGGCATTTGTTATTTTCTTCAACTGTAACATCTCGCGGAGATTCTTTTGAAATAATTCTTCTAATTGATGCATTTCGGTCGTGCCCTCTGAAATCGAAGTTCGCTAGAATTATCGAGATGTTTGGAACAAAGATTGAAGCTGGAAGCAACTTTTCTTGTTAAAGATACGGAGGGTGAACGTTTTTTGTTGCTTAATTACGGGTTGTAGGGCGCGTTGTGAGACCGCACGGTTACTGGTTTTGATTACAATATTTCGACCGTATGTCAAGAGGGGGATTAATTCATCCAACGATGTATCTACATACCACCACCCTGCCTATTTCTGCCGTGAAGCAGTAATGCGTTTCGGTTTGAAGGGCGGGGCAGCCGATGTAACTACACTGAGACCTTGGAACTGATATCTCAAGGTGGGTGGCGCATTTACGTCTATGAGCTCCAGTAACCACTTAACACCAGGTGGGCTGTAAGCTCGTCCACCCACCTAAGCAATAAAAAAAAAACATATCTATAAGCTCTGGTAGCTGCTTAAGATTATGTGGGGCGGAAGCTTTATAGCCTGCAAAAAAATACATGTTAATATACGGTGTATTTTTTCATTGTGAAAGTCATCGGTAATCGTATAGTTCTTTACGAATATGTTTAAAAAACATTGTAACTGCCAATAAATTTGAACACCTGTATCATTACCATTACTGAAGTCGTCGTGGCCTAAAGGATAAGACGTCCGGTGCATTAGTTGTTGCGATGCACTGGTGTTCGAATCCCGCAGGCGGATACAAATTTTTCTAATGAAATACGTACTCAACAAATGTTCACGATTGACTTCCACGGTGAAGGAATAACATCCTTCCCGTGGTAGGACCTCATGTGAGTCCGCACGGGTAGGTACCACCGCCCTGCCTATTTCTGCCATGAAGCAGTAATGCGTTTCGGTTTGAAGGGTGGGGTAGCCGTTGTAACTATACTGAGACCTTAGAACTTATATCTCAAGATGGATGGCGCATTTACGTTGTAGATGTCTATAGGCTCCAGTAACCACTTAACACCAGGTGGGCTGTGAGCTCGTCCACCCATCTAAAGACTACACCGGAAGTTTTATGTATTATGGGAAAACTGCTTCGAGCTATCCATTACTATAAAATTTCACCAATGAATTATGTGAAGTCGTCGTGGCCTAAAGGATAAGACGTCCGGTGCATTCGTATCTAGCGATGCACCGGTGTTCGAATCCCGCTGGCGGGTACGAATTTTTTCTAATGAAATACTTAACAACTGTTCACGATTGACTTCCACGATGAAGGAATAACATCGTGTAATAAAAATCAAACCCGCAAAATTATAATTTGCGTAATTACTGGTGATAGGACCTCTTGTGAGTCCGCGCGGATAGGTACCATCGCCCCGCCTATTTCTGCCGTGAAGCAGTAATGCGTTTCGGTTTGAAGGGTGGGGCAGCCGTTGTGAGACTATACTGAGACCTTAGAACTTATATCTCAAGGTGTGTGGCGCATTTACGTTGTAGATGTCTATGGGCTCCAGTGACCACTTAACATCAGGTGGGCTGTGAGCTCGTCAACACATCTAAGCATTAAAAAAAATGGGAGTTATGTGACAACTTTGATTAGTAAGCGAATAACCATCTTTCCAAAATTTACTATTCGGAAAAAGTCGAACATGATTCTTATATTTTTTAAACATAATTTAAAAAGAAATGTCTAACCTTCACTATCAATTTCAGACTTGATCCTCTGCAATAGAGCTCTTTTTAGAGTGCCCTTCATTTTCTTATCTTTCTTCTTGTGTGCACCGGATCTTGCGATCTATTTGAACCACAAAAACTGAGTCTAGTGAATTTGTATGCAAGATGCGTCCATAAATTTCTTTAATGAATAACAAATATCATGTAATAGCATACATTACAGCCTTACTTGATAATTAACATGCATAAAAAATAATTTTATGAACCTATATATTAATACGTGAAGCAAAAACTTTGTACTCCTTTTTACGAAAATTGCGCGGCCGGAGGAGTATGAAATTTCCCACACTTATAGAGAATATAGAGAAGGAGTGCAGAATGTTAAGTAACTAATGTAAACTATGTGTTAAAAGGACATTAAATCTTTTAAAAAAAAAACATTACACACACTACCATGTATTTGACACACGCAGGCATGCATACTATTTGTTTATTGTCAAATTTTTCTTATTGTTTGTCTTTATTCATATTTGTCTATAGTGTAGTCTTGGCGAAATCTGTGATTATAAAAGTATAATAAATAGTCTTTGACAGTAGAACCCTAATAACGTTAGAACTTATAATTTCAATGAATTATAGTCGAATTTCGACTAGGTACTGCAGGACCACTAGTTTTATTAAAATGGCTCCTTTACGCGCATTATTCACTCACTTTTAATTAGTTCAAACATGTCCTCCGTGACGACGGAAACTGCATGTACGAACAAGAAGAACTCACTTTCAAGTCTTTCAGCAAGTTTATGTACTCTCTCTTCAAGGTTCCGAGTAGCATGTCCTGTCTTCGCAGCTGTGGGTGGACTCCTGTAGTCCGATGTAGTCTATCTGCTTCTATTACTCGCACCTGAAATTTTCATGAAGACGTTGGCGGCGATAGTGAGATCTAAACATGAGAACTTATGTCTACTATCAATTAAGTTGAATTTCCACTTGATTGTCGAAGTCTTACGAAAAAAAAAACACATGTTGGTGAATTAACGTTACGTCTCAAGATTTAAATCCCCGCTCCTGAAGTCTTGCTCAACCACTGCATTCAGCCTTTCGTTCTCTTTAAATAATCTATTCATGTTTTGTCGATGTTGAAGTCCTTTAGAGATGGAAATCATCTGAACGTAAGTGTTGATATTAAAACTCTTCGATATTTGAACCCTCTATTATTGCAATACGCATAACAACTTTCCTGCTGTACAGACTGGAATGGATCTCCTTCTCGTCGAAAGGTACAGAGTTTTACCTTTAAAACTCCAGTTTTTTACGTTAAGTGGTTACTGGTGACCATAGACATCTAGAACGTAAATGCGCCACCCACCTTGAGATATAAGTTCTAAGGTCTCAAGTATAGTTACAACGGCTGCCCCGCCCTTCAAATCGAAACGCATTACTGCTTCATGGCAGAAATAGGCAGGGCGGTTGTACCTACCCGTGCGGACTCACAAGTGGTCCTACCACCAGTAATTACGCAAATTATAATTTTGCGGGTTTTTGATTTTTATTACACGACTAGCGACCCGCCCTCGCTTCGCTTCGGAAACATTAAAACACACATGAAACCAAAAAAATAAAATATTTTTTTTTTTAAAAAAAGTAGCCTATGCTCATTAAGGACAATGTCGGCTTCTAATGGAAAAAGAATTTTTCAAATCGGTCCAGTAGTTTCGGAGCCTATTCGAAACAAACAAACAAACAAATCTTTCCTCTTTATAATATTAGTATAGATGTTATTCCTTCACCATGGAAGTCAATCGTGAACATTTGTTAAGTACGTATTTCATTAGAAAAATTTGTATCCGCTTGCGGGATTCGAACACTGTTGTTGTATCGCTAGATACGATTGCACCGGACGTCTTATCCTTTAGGCCACGACGACTTCCAAAGAATCACTCGAGGTACCTGTCTCTGCAGTCTAAAACGTTCGTCTTCCAATTTGTTGAGGATCTCTGTGTCGTTTTTCTCATCTTGACCCCCGGATTCCATATTGCTATAGTATAACGAAATGTAAAATTAATAATTTTGTAAATTTTATAACAATAGCCGCGGCCACCTAGATCTGTTTTTTTTTAAAGGGCTGTCTTTGTGCTTTTTGTATCTCCTTTTGGGTTAAGTCCTATAATAGGGAATCCTTTTTTCGAACGAAGTTCCTTATGGGACGATGCGGAGCGGTAACCTAACCGGGAAAAAGCGTCCTTAACGTAAGATTTTTATTATTTATGTATAGTCTTAGTATGATGTCTATAGAGTGTCTAATGTATATACGTTATGACAGTTATTATTATTATTCATAGAAATAGCTGCTTCTTTGTATATTATTATTATATATTTTTTATAAACCATTGTGAATAAAATAAAGCTGATAACTTTGTAAAGTAGTTTTTATTTATTTTTATCAATAAAAAAATCATAATAAAAATTGTATACCCGAATAATTATTTTCTTTATACCTCGAATATAACTTAAAATTAATATTTTTATAATAAGGAACTTCGTTCCTATCCGGTGTCCCACGACACCACACATCTATTTTTATGGGTCGGGGGCCGAACCTCCTTCGAAGTCCCCGTGTCTAGGGGGCACTTGGGGTATATGAGACGGGATGATCCGCAGACCACAGAGAATCCTGTCCCTATTTTTTAATCTACGAATATTCTCTAGCGATGTTGAGTGGCTTTAGTGATGTATGAATAACACCGTGCACTACAATTAAAAAGCAGCAGTTTGTGTGTTCTCTCTTTGTCAGGGTGTCCATACGCGTACGTGTCCATACGGTGTTCATGTCTATGCAACACAAGTGGGACTTCAGACCTAAGACTCCAGTAACCACTTGACACCAACTAAGCCGCTGGCGTCCACTTCCCTCAAACGTATAGTTCAAGCTTCTTGAGATCATGTCGGTTTTAAAATTGTTTGTATTTGAACTCAAAGCTCAAATACAAACAAGTTTAAATTAACAAAGTTAAAAAAAGCTCAAAATACGACTAAATGCAAATATAAAATTCTAAGCGTTTTAACACTGAAATAAAAGCAAAAATAAACAAGAAAAGCTCCTACAGTGTAAATTGCAGTCTTGTTGGACACAAACGCTTTCTCAACTTTGTGCCGGCTTTATGATACAGAGTAAATATAGCGGAGGGTGAACTTAAAACAAAATAGGTATTGAAATAAATATTGACTGTAAGTGCGGTCTATTAGTTTGAAGAGGAAAGTCAGCCTGAAATTTTATTTTCTTATCTCTCCTCCTCCTCCTTGCATCGTATTCCTCATTGCTGAGGGTCATGACCACCCTTTTGTATCACCTTCGCACGCACGATCTTTCCCCATCCATTCTTGTCTCTGGCGGTGTAGAGGGCGTTGTGAAACGTGGAATCAAGAGCGGTGCGGATCTGGTCGGACCAACGTATTGGGCGACGCCCTCGAGGTCTTTTCCCATCTACCCTACCGGTCACGATGAGTCTCTCGAGATTGCTACCATCCTTCCGTGCAATGTGACCGTGTCGTCGTGGCCTAAAGGATAAGACGTCCGGTGCATTCGTGTTGAAGCGATGCACCGGTGTTCGAATCCCGCAGGCGGGTACCAATTTTTCTAATGAAATACGTACTCAACAAATGTTCACGATTGACTTCGACGGTGAAGGAATAACATCGTGTAATAAAAACCAAACCCGCAAAATTATAATTTGCGTAATCACTGGTGGTAGGACCTCTTGTGAGTCCGCATGGGTAGGTACCACCACCCCGCCTATTTCCGCCGTGAAGCAGTAATGCGTTTCGGTTCGAAGGATGGGGTAGCCGTTGTAACTATATTGAGACCTTAGAACTTATATCTCGAGGTGGGTGGCGCATTTACGTTGTAGATGTCTATGGGCTCCAGTAACCACTTAACACCAGGTGGGCTGTGAGCTCGTCCATCCATCTAAGCAATAATAAATAAGTATTCAAGAACTTTGCGAAGACACTCGGATGACAGCCGCGAGGAGATTTTGAGTTCTTGCAAAATTGATACGTTGGTCCGAAATGCTGTCCACGGAATACTCAGCATCTTTCTCCAGGACCACATCTCAAAGGCGTCAATGCGCCTTACCTCTACTTCCTGTCTTAAGTTGTTTAAGCATGCTGTTAAAGTTTAAGTTTAAGCTATGCTTTATTGTGAGCGTAATGTGATTTTTGCCGCATAGCAATCTAGCAAACAAACTGTTGACAGTTGCAGTGCCAATGCAATTGCAACTTGACTGTCTATAGAATTTGAACGCTACATTTTAGATCGTGAGCTTGTATGCCTAGTGAAAATAATATTTATTAAATTCAGAAAATCCGAAATAAAGTTACACCTTGTCTTAAAATTGCAATCCTTTAGTTTTGTGCGCGTGTTACTAGAGCACTAAGCAGCGTTGGAGGTTTTTTTTATTGCCTTTGTAGGCAGACGAGCATACAGCCCACCTGATGGTGAGTGGTTACCGTCGCCCATGGACTTTAGTAATGCCAGGGGTAGAGCCAAGCCGCTGCCTACCGCTTAATACTCTCCACAAGTTTGAAGAGCTCCTCGTTAGGCTACTGTTATATATTTGAACTAGGGACAAAGAACAATTCCTAAATAAACACCTACAGGGTGCTGCTATCGGAATGTTATTTTTATAATTTAACTACAACACGTTTTAGTTCGAATGAAATTATTTTGTAATAGGTATGTTAGAAGTCGTCGTGGCCTAAAGGATAAGACGTCCGGTGCATTTGTATCAAGCGATGCACCGGTGTTCGAATCTCGCTGGCGGGTACCAATTTTTCTAATGAAATACGTACTCAACAAATGTTCACGATTGACTTCCGCGGTGAAGGAATAACACCGTGCATAAAAATCAAACCCGCAAAATTATAATTTGCGTAATCATTGGTGGTAGGACCTCTTGTGAGTCCGCACGGGTACCACCGCCCCGCCTATTTCTGCCGTGAAGCAGTAATGCGTTTCGGTTTGAAGGGTGGGGCAGCCGTTGTGACTATACTGATACCCTTAGAACTATATCTCAAGGTGTGTGGCGCATTTAAGTTGTAGATGTCTATGGGCTCCAGTAACCACTTAGCACCAGGTGGGCTGTGAGCTCGTCCAGACATCTAAGCAATGAAAAAAAAAGGTATCTATTATTTAGCTATGCAGTTGCCGTTCTATAATGCTGGCCATTTGCAAACCTAATTTATGTGTAGCTGGCAATAAATTCAAATAAATTTTATTTTCTAGTTAAGTAATTTGGTTATTGATCAGTGTGTTGTTCTCATTGCATTTGTATATTTATCATCACTAGAGGTCCCACAGTAGTCGAAATTCGACTATAAATAATTGGAATTGTAAGTTTGTACACTATTATGATTGTATTTTATACTTCTATAATCACAAATTTCGCCAAGACTACGCTATAAAAAATATTAACAAAGACAAACAATATTTAATCTATTCTCAATTTGACAACAGACGCCAAGAACAAAAGTTTGACAATAAATAGTATGCATGCGTGTGTGCGTCAAATACATGGTATGTAGTGTGTGTAATGTTTTTAATTATTGATTTAATGTATCTTTTATGCATTATTTTAAAAAAATATTAGCATTGTGCGCTTCTTCTCTATATTCTCTATAAGTGTGCAAAATTTCATACTCCTCCGTCCGCGCAATTTTCGTAAAAAGGTATACAAAGTTTTTGCTTCACGTATTAATATATAGATTATGGACACGATAAAAATACGAGTAATTATGGAATGCGAGTTCCGTGGCGGTGGCAATACAATAAAAGCGTGGGGTGCATGGTATCAGTAGTTATGAATATTTTATGAACAGATATGAGTAGAAGGGTTATTTTGATAATATCCTGAAAAACACCCCACGCTTTTTTACAATAAAATCATTTTTTCTTACACTGTAATTTTTAATTCAAATTTATTATTTATTTACTGCGGAGGAACTTCAGTTCCCTCTGTATTTTGTACCGCTTGTTCCATGGGGAGTGCTCTGAGGAATTGTTCGAGATGATACCGGCATCTCGTTTTTACCATCACACCGCCCGCCACCGGAGTAGAGTTCATCCATACTACCTGGAGCCACTGCGGTCATCCACAGTGCGTTTCCAGAGATCTTTTTTGCCACGTACCATCCGGCTATGGAATGAGCTCTCCCCTCCACGGTGTTTCCCGAGCGCTATGATATCTTCCTTCTTCAAACGAGGCTTGTGGAGAGTATAAAGCGGTAGGCAGCGGCTTGGCTCTGCCCCTGGCATTGCTGAAGTCCATGGGCGACGGTAACCACTCACCATCAGGTGGGCCGTATGCTCGTCTGCCTACAAAGGCTATAAAAAAAAATATATATTAAAATTTATTTTCTTATTTTTTAGTTGGATTTTCTATAAAAACGAATTTTGTTAGTTTTTTTAAACTATTATTTATTTTTCATTTTTTAGTTGAATTTCAATTTTTTAAATTATAATTATATATTTTTAATATTGAATTGTCATCGATCCTTAATAAGTATACCAAATTTCGAGTTAATCCGAAGTTTTCAAGAGGGTCAAAATCATGTTCAAAGATTCCGTTACATACTAACATACATACATCTGAAGTTAATAAAAGCGTATTAAAAACAATGGCCGTGTTGGATTTAAAACGTTGTAATCAATAGTCTTTCTAATACGAATCTATGAACAAAATTGCATAATGTTATAGCCATTTAATTTTTAATTGTGAGTCCGCGCGGATGGGTACCACCACCCTGCCTATTTCTGCCGTGAAGCAGTAATGCGTTTCGGTTTGAAAGGTGGGGCAGCCGTTGTAACTATACTTGAGACCTTACAACTTGTATCTCAAGGTGGGTGGCGCATTTACGTTGTGGATGTCTATGGGCTCCAGTAACCACTTAACACCAGGTGGGCTGTGAGCTCGTCTACCCATCTAAGCAATAAAAAAAAATTGCATTTGCCCGAAATGGATCGTGACCCTTGACAGCAGCAGTATATTGAGCGTTATCGCACACATACGTATGAAGCTAATAAAAGCGTATTAACAATGAAGATACCGTAATAGTTCAGAAACATAGAATCATGAAAAATCCATGATAAACTCAAACGCGTCTACTCACACGGAATATGCACGTTTTAAATATTTTTTTTCTATTTTCTTTATTCACACCGTATTGTAATAGTTGCTTGTTTATGAATTTTTGAATCGAAATGTTTTGAAGCTAGTTCCTCTTGTGGTAGTATTTTGTAATAATGATTTGTAACATCTAATAGTAAAAATATAAACTAAAATTGTAATTTTATAATTAATCAAAAATACTTTTACGGTTTAATACTGCTTTTCGTTATCATAACGCGAATGTGCATTCACTTTTAGACGCGAAATTAATATCTCAAGTATACTCACTTCGCTTCGGAAACATTAAATTTTATTATTGATAGTTGAGTCCCGTGATGTTACCCGCGGTTATTGTCGTAGCGCGGGTGACGCCGCGGGGCGAAGCTAGTCTAAAAAAGTAGCCTAAGTTACTCCTTATATCATTAGCTACCTGTCAGTGAAAGCCCCGTCAAAATCGGTCCAGCCGTTCCAGAGATTAGCCGGAACAAACAGACAGACAGACAGACATACAGACAGATAGACAAAAATTGTAAAAAATGTGATATTGGTGTATATACCGTATATATATATTTATATGCATGTAGTAAAAGCGGTTATTTCAATATTACAAACAGACACTCCAATTTTATTTATACAGTGTTACCTTGTAATTCGGTAGAATTTTATTATTATCCCGAGTTCCAGCGCGTATCAATATTACACAGCGGTGTAAATAAAGCCGTGCAGTTCTTTGTCTGAAAAATCCCCTTTCAATGTTTCTCCGCATCGCTTTGATGCAGCCGACGTGTTGCACCACTCCAATTGACTTTTTAAATACCAGATAAAAGCATTGGCAGTTTTTTTTTCGACATCATTACGGTGGATTTTCTCTTGCGCTCGATTTTTAACTCTTTATGTACGAGTCGTAGGTCTGAAAATCGTTTGGTCATCTAAATTGAAATTTCTAGACGACTTTTTACTTACTTAATAACATTGATTCATTCGAATTGTATTAGCTATTGTTGAATAACTATAATATCTATACTAATATTATAAAGAGGAAAGATTTTATTGTTTGTTTGCATTGAATAGGCTCTGAAACTAATGAACCGATTTGAAAAATTATTTCGCTGTTGGGAAGCTACTATCTCCGGGTGACATAGGCTATATTATATGTTTTCAAAAAAATTACGGATCCCTGCTAAAAATCCAATTATGTAACCCAAGGTGTAAAAAAATTTATCTAAAATATTCTTTAAGAGAAGAGTCTCTCTCTTATTACACCATAGCAGACAAAAAACTATGTTAATTTCGGTATTTATAACAAAATCTTAAATTCGCAGGATAAAAATCGATCTGGCTTAAAGGATAAGACGTTTGGTGACATGGCAGGTGCCAATATTTTTAATAAAATATGTATTTATTTAACCGAAGTCACAAATGACTTCTACAGTGAAGGAATTATAAGATCGTGTAATAAAAATCAAAACCGCAATATTATATTCGCGTAATTAGTGGTGGTAGGGCGTCTTGTGAGCCCACACGGGTAGGTACCGCCACCCGTCCTATTTCTGCCGCGAAGCAGTAATGCCTTTCGGTTCGGAGATAGAGGCAGTGGTTATACTGTAAAACTGAAACTTAAACTCACATTGCATTGTGGGTGTCATAGGTGGCAATTACATTGTTAAATTCTATGGGCTCCGATAACCACTTAATGCCAGGTGTGTCGTGAGCTCGTCCACCTATCCAAACAATAAAATAAAAAGGTCATTTATCAAATTGACATTTACATTCATTATTGTTCTATAAATATAACACAAACATATATTTTTTTATTAACATTTTTACGTCAAATAAGTATTTGACAACGTACTCAATCTAGCATTTTCTCCAGTGCTACAGATGCCTGAAGCGCACGCAAGAAACAAGGTATACCTCAAGAGCCGGAATATATTTTATCGAAGAGACTGATCGGTAATCAAACCAGGATCTCAGGATTACAAGTCAGCACTAACCACACAGTCACTGACCACAAAATAAGCTATCGAAGAACCCATTAAGTTAGAATTAAAGTTTAATAATACCATAAATACATAGAGGGAGGGGGAGAGAGAGAGAGGGAGGGGGAGAGAGAGAGAGAGAGAAAATACACTTTATTTCACACAAAAAAAAAATTACATTCCAAAAACAGTCGAAAAGCATTTGTACAATAGGCTGTCTTATCGTTAACAGCGATCTCTTCCAGACAACCGCTTAATTTACAGAAATTCTGGAAAAATTTAAATTTTACCTAACATTATTCTAGGTATTTGCTCTAAGATATGATTTTTTTCTTCTAATCTATACCAATTTAGTTTTAATAGTCACAACGGTTTTATTGATCTAGATGTCACATATAACGCTTGGGATAAGTAAAAATTACATACTCTTAATATATAGTATTACTGTATCATACTTATTTATTTCATTAAGGATTTCTATTTGCTTTATATAATCTGTAGCAGGCTAAAACTGTCACATGATTTAATTGAAGTTAATACATAGGATGCGAATCTAGAATCTTGTTTCATTTAATTTGAGACTGGTGGTAGGACCTCTTGTGAGTCCGCACGGGTAGGTACCACCGCCCCGCCTATTTCTGCCGTGAAGCAGTAATGCGTTTCGGTTTGAAGGGTGGGGCAGCCGTTGTAACTATACTGAGACCTTAGAACTTATGTCTCAAAGTGGGTGGCACATTTACGTTATAGATGTCTATGGGCTCCGGTAACCACTTAACTCCAGGTGGGCTGTGAGCTCGTCCACCCACCTAAGCAATAAAAAAAAATGTGTTTATGTTTTTCATTACTACTAACTAAGATGACGTAAGTGCTAGTTTATTTTTTTCTTCTTGTCTTTACCCCATGTGTGGTCGGGGTACAAAGTTATCTGTTTCCATTCATGTCTATCATACGTCATCTCTAAATGCACATCTTTCATTCGCATATCCTCTTTCATAGAGCACATGTAAGTGTTTTTAGGACGCCACCCAAAAAGTCCTAGTTTGTGCCATTGAAATTTAAGAAAAAAGGTGTTAAATCAATCTTGTAATGTAGTAAACGTGCTGTGTATAGGATACTTGGTTCGGATTCATGTTAAGTTTTGAGCTAGGGAGGCGTAGGGGTCCACGCAGGCGCCACTTCCCGCCATTTTCTCAAATTGGGGATGACAGGGAGAAAATAATTTTGGTGTCGTTAGGAAATTTGTGCGCGTCGATACTGAATTATTTGTATCAATGCACAAATACGCAGTCAAAGTTAGAAGTAGGAAGAATGGAGATGGTAGCTTTTTGAGTATCGTTTTTTTTTGTTTTAATATTTTATTTCTTTTTGTAATGTGATTACTTGAATTATGTACTTGGGAGAGTCAAAAGATTTTTCTTTGAAGCCTTAATTTAAATAATTTGGATTTCGAGACTTATTTTGTTCAGTATTGCCTTCAGTAAGATAAATATAAATACTTACTTAATGTTTTTACCAAATACGGACTTTTTACAGGTTTTTTTTCTAGCCACTCGCAGGTAGCCTAAGGTACTATTCACGCTAAGCCCAGATGGCAAAGTGACCTCACGGGCGCAGCTTGAGTAAATTTGCTAACACTAGCTCTAGCAAGAGCAGTGCTTTACAGAATATACCTTCGAAACAGAATCGCGACCCACTGAGAAGATCTGGCGAGAAACTCAGTGGAATACATTTATGGGTCAGTTCTTTTTAGAGCATTTAAATAAAAGTTACTCGCTGACATTTGTTAAAATATTTGTATAAGTGAAAAGGGAAAAATTCAAAATATATTTTCAGTTTACCGCAAAATTTCCTCAACAACCCTTAGAAATTTCCCTCGGAAAAACACAGGAGCTTTTCATTCTAGTCTAGCAACATTCTCACCCCGGTTGACCAGTAGTTTTGGCGGCGTCACCGCGCGCGGACGTCTCCTCACCAAGCCGACAATTTTCGTGTAGCCTGCAGATATTAAAAATAAAACAATGTGTCTTTAATTAACATGTGCTTTATTAGTGAGTGTGTGTGACCTTCGTCGGATGTTGACATGTAAGTGAAATCGTCTAGCCAGACGGATTTTAATTGTAATTTGAATTTGTTAATATAATGTCAAAACACATGAAAAATCGTTTTCATGATTTTCTCTGTGAAAAAATATTGGTATTTGGAGAAAAATGATATGTGATATTCTAGTGTGAGTTTGAACGAGCGTATTCGGGAAATTCCTTTGAGAATTTATATCTTTTCCAATGATTTTTTAGGAGAAGCGTATCTTTTTTGACCTTGATAAATGTCAGTCGATTTCTTATGAAAATAGTAATAGTGTCTAACATTGATTATTTAGGGTCTTAGGATATTCTCAACGAGTACTTGACAGATATTGACCTGCCATGACAATATGTGCCATCTGCAACTTTGTATGTTTAGAAATTAAATTGTGTTTTTTTTTTTAAATAAAAAACCTTGTTGCATTTCTTTACAAAAATTAAGTCAGCTTATATAAAATTAAAGTTAAAATTTTTTGGTATTTTTAATAAGTTCGGTACTAGGTTTTGTACAAAGATCGATAAGAAAACGTTTGAGAAGTTAGTGGAACTACATTAAAACATGAAAGGGTAAAATAGAAATTAAAACTTTGTAACATATTATTTGTTATACAGTTAAAAATTATCTTTAAAAATTACCCAAATAATCTATATAAATATTGTTTTAAAGGTAATAAATATCCATGATTTTAATTATTCAAAAGAATCTAAAGGTAAATATATAATTATGTAGATAAACACAAATGTATTTTACATGAAACAATTTATACTAATATTATAAAGCTGAAGAGTTTGTTTGTTTGAACGCGCTAATCTCAGGAACTACTGGTCCGATTTGAAAAATTCTTTCAGTGTTAGATAGCCCATTTATTAAGGAAGCCTATAAGCTATATAACATTACGGTAAGACCAATACAAGGGAAGCACCAATAAAGAATGTTTCAAAATAGGGGATTAAATAGCTTCCTTAATATTCTATAATTCAAAAATATTTTCACTTTCTACGTAAAATAAAAATTTAGTAAAATTTAGCGTTATGCCAAAGTAACTATTCCACGCGGACGGAGTCGCGAACAAAAGCATGTTATTTAATAAAATTATAAATATTCGTCAATGAATTTTTTCGCGATCTCTTAATAAGAAATTTAAATAAAATGCTTATAATATTATGAAGAAAAAAAAACAAAAAGTTAACTATAAATTTATTTATACATTCACTACACACATCAAATAAGCAGAGAATATGTAACGTTTGTATCCGCGCTCTTTACCCATTCAGGACGAAGTTAAAGGTAGTTTCTCATTTTAATCGTATGTAGGTCAGTAAGTTACCTCAATCTGTACAGAGATACAGGAAGAGAAAATGTTACGCTTTAAGCTAATTATAAGTGACACTCAGTTCCCACGTTCAAGGTGATACTTACGTTCCGATGTCCATGGGCCTCACAAACCCTTAAGCACCGTATGGGCCGTGAATTGACTCTGTGTATTTTTATATTACTATTGAGAGAGCTATTTCAGCTTCTTGATGTGTAGGTGAGCTCACGGGGCTCAAACCGGGAGAGTTGCTAACACTGGTCCCAGCAAGAGCAGTGCTTTGCACAATCTACCACCCGATCGGAAATGCGACCCACTGAGAAAATTCGGCGAGAAACTCAGTGGGCTCTGGATATTGAAAATCATGTACCTACCATGTGTTTATTAGGAAGTTAATATATAGGGTAGTAATAATTAAATTCATGAAATAAATAATAGTTTAAAAAACTAACAAAATACGCTTTTATGGAAAATCCAACTAAAAATAGAAAATAAATCTTAATAAATTTGAATTAAAAATAGTCTAAGAGAAAATGATTTTATTGTAAAAAAAGCGTGGGGTGCATGGTATCAGTAGTTATAAATATTTTATGAACAGATATGAGTAGAAGGGTTATTTTGATAATATCCTGAAAAGCACCCCACGCTTTTTTACAATAAAATCATTTTTTCTTACACTATTTTTAATTCAAATTTATTAAGATTTATTTTCTATTTTTAGTTGGTTTTTCTATAAAAGCGTATTTTGTTAGTTTTTTTAAACTATTATTTATTTTTGTTTTTTTAGTTGAATTTCAATTTTTCCAATTTTTTTTTTAAATATTGAATTGTCATCGGTCCTTAATAAGTATACTAAATTTCGAGTTAATCCGACGTTTTGAAGGGGGTCAAAATCATGTTCAAGGATTCCGTTACAAACATACATACGTCTGAAGCTAATAAAAGCGTATTAAAATATTTGATTAGCGTAATAACTGTTGGCAAGGTTTGTTGTAGGTTCGCGCGGGAAGTCTAGAATGTACGGAGCTAACCTCAGTCTTGGTAACTAAAGTAGGACGAACTAAGAATCACGTCTTTGACATTGAAATATAAATAGGAGACCACTGTTAATTTTAATTACTTAGCGGGAAATTGTTAAGGTGCCGCTTATACTGGTATACGGTATAAAGTAAGTTATATTGGTATACTGGTGGTAGGACCTCTTCTGAGTCCGCACGGGTAGGTATCACCACCCTGCCTATTTTTGTCGTGAAGCAGTGATGCGTTTCGGTATGAAGGGTGGGGCAGCCGTTGTAACTATACTGAGACCTTAGAACTCGTATCTCAAGGGTGGCCGCATTTGCGCTGTAGACGTCTATAGGCTCCGGTTACCCTTAACACCAGCTGGGCTGTGAGCTCGTTCACTGATATAAGCAATAAAATTTTTTTTGTTAAGGTGCCACATTTTTTTTATAGCCTTTGTAGGCAGAAGAGCATACGGCCCACCTGATGGTGAGTGGTTACCGTCGTCCATGGACTTCAGCAATGCCAGGGGCAGAGCCAAGCGGCTGCCTACCGTTTAATACTCTCCACAAGCCTCGCTTGAAGAAGGACATGTCATAGCGCTCGGGAAACACCGTGGAGGGGAGCTCATTCCATGGCCGGATGGTATGTGGCAAAAAAGACCTTTGGAAACGCACTGTGGATGACCGCAGTGGCTCCAGGTAGTATGGTATATACTCAGGGACGTCTTAAATTAGGATGGGGGGGCACATAAGAATTTGAGGCCCTTTTGGAAAGAAAAAAAGCGAATTATAATAACATTTTTTACTGAGTATGACCGTTTATTATAGGTAACCAAATACAGTATGATATAATGTGTCATTAATGATATTAGAATGCTGCTGGTTTTTTGGTTACGATTTCGATAACGGTTTCTTTCGGGATTTCTGTTGAGCAAAATCTTCTATTATAGGCATAGTATATGCCTTGTAAATACCTTCTGATTACTGATTTGTGAAAAAAGTGTAATGTGCCCGACAAAAAAGTTTCTCACACGTTTATTGAGAATAAACGAGAAATTGTCTGTCTTTCGGGGCCCCCTGAGAATGGGGGCCCTGGGCACGGGCCCCGTGTGCCCTTATGGTAAAGACGGTATTGTATATACTGGTTATACTCTATACATACGTACCTACTTGTAATAATTAAGGGCGTCGTAACCTAAAGGATTGGGGTTCCCGAATCTAGCGGTAGCTATGAATTTTACTAATGACCTACTTAAAACATATTCACGGACAACTTCCGCGACGAAGGATTGATGACATCGGTCGAAAACAAAAATAATCTATACTAATATTATAAAGAGGAAAGATTTGTTTGTTTGTTTGTATTGAATAGGCTCTGAAACTACTGAACCGATTTGAAAAATTCTTTTACTGTTTGGAAGCTACACTATTCCCGAGTGACATAGGTTATAATTTTTTTTTTTTTAATTAGGGATCCTTGCTAAAACTCTACATTATTGGAGTTTTTTACACCTAAGTTTTATAAAAAAACTACCTAAAATATTCTTTACATCGCGTGCCCTGCGAAAACTATTGATGATGGAATAAAATAATGTACTACGACTTTGTAGAACACATTATTATTTACAAAAAGTGTCGCGACAGCATATATCTAACTATTGTAGTTATGCTGCAATAAGTGTTCTTTTATTTAAAAAAATAAAACATCAAATGTCGCTGAAATTTCTCTTAAAGACCCGAGCAGAGCCAGAGCGGGCCGCTTGTAAAATATAATTTCCGTACTTGTTTATTTACACTTCGTTGTGTGAAAAACGGGATGAGTTAATAGTGTAATTAATTTTTTGTTGCCCTTATTGGGTAAACGAGTATACGGCCCACCTGATGGTAAGTGGTTACCGTCGCTCATAGACGTTAGCAATACCAAGACCAGAGACAATCTACTGCCTACCGTTAAGTGTAACTATACTGAGACCTTAGAACTTATATCTCAAGGTGGGTGATGCATTTACGTCGTAGATGTCTATGGGCTCCAGTAACCACTTAACACCAGGTGGGCTGTGAGCTTGTCCACCATTCTAAGCAATAAAAAAAATTACAATCATACCCGCGGTGTTATACTAATTTTCTCTAAAATAAAGGCGGCGGATAATATTAAAAAATTACAAGGATTACAATTAATTTATCTCCGCACCTGGTCCACTAAGTCGTACCTTAAAGAAAGCTTAACCCGTAAATACTTGGGTTTCCTTAGATTTATCTTTTAATAATGGAATATGTTTATGATGGTGATGATGAAATAATGACTACAACCACTGTGCCAAGAGACTGAGAAAAAGAATGTCTATAAAAGATATCGATGCTTGAAAGGCAAACGTGACTAAGCGACAATAACAAACAACACACTACACACACACACTCACACTCACTCACGCACACACACATACACACACACACACACACACACACACACACACACACACTCACACACACACACACACACACACACACACACACACACACACACACACACACACACACACACACACACACACACACAAACACACACACACACACACACACACACACACACACACACACACACACACACACACACACACACACACACACACACACACATACGTACTTTATTCTTACAGATCGCTCTTCCTGGTTAGCTTACTTTA